CAAGCATGACGGTCGGGGTGCAGCTGAAAGAGATTGCCACCTGTCAGAAGCTACCATTCCTCGTTGTTGCCAATTACATAGATAAATAGGAATTTACATAATTTACAAAGAGTTTGTGTTCGTGGCTTATTTTGAAGCCACTCCCCAAAGATCCACATTAATTCATGAAAGCAAAATATTCAGCCTAATAGCTCTGCGTGGAGGGAGGGGGGCTATCTTTACAGAGGCTTTCTTCAAACAAGGCCTGGAACTCGACTGAGTGCCGGCCTGGGGGCCTAGGGGGCTACCCAGGACACACGAAGTCATCAAGTGGGCGAGAACAGGCTGCTGGGTGCAGGCCCCGGAGTCAAAACCAGCAGATAGTGACTGTCTCCTTTCCATGTCATAACTATCAATGTTTCTTCTTCCTTCTCCTCTTTTATTTTTTTGAGATGCATTCTTTCAGTGGGTACCTCGCACAGCTGTAAATTTCTGTCTAAATCCTATAAGCTTCAAACTCATAAACTCCTGTACAGCTACCATCCGTGTCTAACGTGGCTGCCCCCCGGCCCTAGTGACCCACGCGCCACGCCAGCCTCCTCAGTTTTGGGACATAAATGCACGAATGTCGGCCGGGTCCGACCACCAGGCCTTCGCCTCTATTATAAGACAGACACGTGTTCACATTTGCCAAGAGTCACCTGGGAGCCCACTTATTCTCCAAGAGAATTCATGTCAAAAGCCAGTAAGTGGCTTTCCAACTTGCCGTCCCTCTCCCAAAACAATTTCCTCTGTGAAACCAGAGGCACGGTGTCGAGTTCCAGGGCACATCTGGGATCGGTTTACCCATTAGGGAGGCCGGGCTCATTGGATTTGGCCATTCTTGGGGCAGGGCTGTGTTTTTAAGTAGGGTCCCTTGGGTGGGTTTTCTCCCCCAACACAATTCATTCCTTTTGCTCAAAAAGGTGGAAATTTGACTCCTCTATGTCCACGGGCTGAAGCCTCCCCGGGACAGGACGCTGCGGCCTCGTTCTCTGAAGGGGTCCTGGGAGAGTGAGACTAGGAGGCGGGCAGAGCGTGGGAAGCAGGGTAAGCACTGACAGCGGTGCTTGGAGCCTCCTTGCGTTGTCCGTCCTCAACACCAGTGGATCTAAGGCACAAAAGAAGAGGCATGTTACCAAGTAGCTCTTTGCTTACTCCAAGAGGGGACCGTGAGTCTGACGTTTCTTCCTGCCCCATCACCAGCCCACCCCCATTCTGCACCGAGTCTCATCACCAGAGCTTCTTGGCAATTTCCGAGCTGCCAGCCACCTCAGAAGGTGTGGCTGAGCCTGTGTGATCACCACAAGCCTCCCCTTGGAGGACGAGAACCTGGGAATTACCACCTCGAGTCTTGCAGGAAAGCAGGCACCATAGCTTAAGAAAATATTTTTGTCTCCAAGTAAAGCTTCATACAAGAGCTTTACCTGAATAATAAAACCTGGAAGACCAGCTTTCCTAGGAGATGGTGGGATGGTGTCCGTCTCAGCCCTGTGGGATGCCTGCACTCACGTGTCTTACCTTCCTGGCATGAAACAGAACAATCATCCTAATGACAGCAAAAACAAACCGGTTGTCACGTTGACTGCATTTGCCTCGTGGCAACCCCATGTGTGTCAGAGGAGAACTGTGCTCCACAGGTTTTTTTTTTTTTTAATGTAATATTTTATTGTGTTTTTGGTGTAAAAGAACAAACCCATTGCCGCCAAGTCGATTCCAACTCATAGCAAGCCTGCAGGACAGAGTAGAACTGCCCCACAGCATCTCTAAGGTTGTAATCTTTATGGAAGCAGACTGCCACCTCTTCCACAGAGCAGCTGGTGGGTTCGAACTGCCGACATATCGGTTAGCAGCTGAATGCTTAACCACTACCCCACCAAGGCTCCTTTGAAATGAGCTAAACAAACAAAAAAAAAACCAAAACCCGTTGCCATTGAGTGGATTCCGACTCACAGTGACCCCATGTGACAGAGTGGAACTGCTCCACAGGGTTTCCAAAGCTGCGACCTTTATAAGAGCAGATCCCACATCTTTCCTCCGGAGGAGCAGCTGGTGGGTTTGAACCACCGACGTTTCGGTTAGTAGCTGATCATTTAACCACTGTGCCACCAGAGCTCCTTCAATTCCACAGGGTTTTCAATGGCTGATTTTTCGGAAGTAGATCATCAGGACTTTCTTCCGAGGAGCCTCTGGGTGGACTCGAACCACCAACCTTTCAATTCGCAGCCGAGCCCAAGCACATCAACTGTTTGCACCATCCAGGGCCTCCTAGCAAAAGCAACTGAGGGCTTCTTCTGTCAGGCGCTCTGCTATGCCTGGAACACTCTCAAGCCAGGCCTTGCACTTGCCCTTCCCAGCCTGCACCCCTTCCCCCTCACTCCCCATGGCTCACCCCTCACGTCCTTCAGGCCTTTATGCCCATGTCACTTTTTAGGCCAGCCGGCCCCTGCCCATCCCATCTACAAGTGCGGCCCCCCCGGCACTTCCTGCCCCCACTCTGCCTTCCTGTTCTCCTCAGCATGCCCCCCGTTTGTTGTATGTGTTTGCCTACTGTTTTTGTCCCCAGGAAGGCAGACACCTTGTCATGTTCCCTGCTGTGCTCCTGGCTTCGTGAACCATGCCTGGCACATAACAGGAGCTCAACAAATCTGTGCTGAATGAATGCATGAGCAAATGAATACATGACGGGATGGATGGATGGCTTTAATCAAGTCCCTCCTTCCCCCAGAGGAGTTTTGGTTTGGGGTGCGGAAGAGGAAACAGAATAGAAAGGCGCTTGGAGGAGTAACTGGGGTTTGACTCATGCTCTCCGGGGACCCCTCCCTGCCACCTTGTCCACCTCCGTCCTCGTCCTCTCTGTTTTTATTACAGATGCTGGCAGGTCCCTCTCCGGACCACTTGAAGCAATCTGCCACCAATTTGAAAAGTCTCCTGTATACCGAGCATGGTCTAATCTTCTCTTGATAAGTCCCTGCAGGAATGAAAGCCGCCTCCAGGCAATTGTTATGAACATAAATTACCATCACATTGCAGATGTGCGGGCAAGTTGTTAAAAACAGTCTCTGATGGATGGAATGACATATTCACCCAACTTGGCTGCAAGAGACCCGCAGGATCTCTCAGACGAAAAGAGGAGCAGGTTACAAACAATAATAATAAAACAAATTAGGGTGCTTGGGGGAGCCTGCTGCTGAGGGTTGTAATTCACCTCTGTCCAGACCCAGTTAAAAGGAAGAAAGGTTTTGCAAAGACCACAGGCTGTTACTGGGGCAAGGGGAATCACGGGGCTGGGTGGAGAAGCCCGAAGGTGTCCAAGGCCAGAAAATCCAGAGTTGGAAGGGACATAAGAGTTGGCTCATAGAACACAGGGAGGGCTGGCCAGGGGGCAGAGGAATGACAGTGCTTGTCTGTCCGCAGCCTCAGCCCTCTTGCCCCTAGAATAATGAACCAATAGGACAGCCACCTTTGGGTGCAGCACCCCGCAAGCTGTGGGGTTCCCACCGGCCACTTTCTCCACCCACATGCTGCCTCCCAAGCATTCCCCCAAGGAAACCTCAGGAGGCAGCTTTGCCTCCTTGGAGGTGGGCCTCCAGTGGCCGGCCGCTGGCCGCCTCTGCCTGGCTTCCCCATGCCTGGGGGTACTGTGGGGAGAGAGCTGGCTTTCCTGAGTCAGCCTGCATTTCCGGGTGCCTGGGTTTGGGTGTCAAATAGAGACCTCCTCTTCCCACCAGCAAGCATATCAGTGTCCCCCTGAGGACTGTGTCCCGGGCTCAGGGCCTAAGGGCGGAGCACCGGCAGGTGGGTGGGCGTCATACCCACTGCTCCGTCGTTCATCGGGCGTTAAAGAGCCAGGAAGGAAAACAGAAAGTACGTTAGCACTGGGTTTTCCAGGCGGCACACCCGGACTCCCGGCTCCTCTGAGCTTCTTCTTCGTCACTTGCTTTGCTGCCAGGACACCCTCTGCTTGTGTGTGTGTGTGTGTGTGTGTGTGTGTCTGTGTATGGATGTGCCAGGGAAGCCACTAGCAGGGCATCCCTCACACCAGCTCTAGAAGGGATTTCTAAATGGCAGCTCTGCAGGGCTGGGCAGACGAGTCTTGGCCCAAAGTAAAGAGGCATGAGGAGCATTCACAGGAATACCTGGTAGGTGTTAATACCTGGTAGGTGAATACTGACTTCAGTCACCCAGCTGGGCCACACCCGGAGTTCCTGTGGCGCAAAAAGCAAACTGTGCTCAACTGCTAACTGAAAACTTGGGGGTTCGAGTCCTCCCAGAGATGCCTCGGAAGAAAGGCCTGGCAGTCAACTTCCTAAAAATCAGCCATTGAAAACCCTATGGAGCACAGTTCTACTCTGACGCACATGGGGTGGCCAGGAAGCCGGAGCTGACTGGACAGCAATTGGTTTGGTTTGGGTTTTGGGGCCACAGTAGTGTGTGTTCATTCGACTGAGCACTGACTCGCAAGCTGCCTCCAGCAGTGACTACAGACTACAGCGTCTCAAACTCGGGGGCCGTGGGGGCCACCAGGGAAGATGAACGAGAAACAGGGTGAGCGGACACTGCACGCCCCACTCAACAGAGAGGCCGCACTCCGTGCCAGCCTAGCGGCCAGGAGGGAATATGGGCCCAGGGAGGCCAGATGGCCCCATCTGCTTTTTAATTAGAAGCTAAAAATACACTTTAAAAAATCTGTTTTTTTGTTTTTTGGTGAGTTCTTCAATTTTCAAATGTAGACAACTTGTTCAGATATTTTCCAAGTGCAGCTCAGGACAGAAGAAATACATCTGGAGACAAGACGCAGCCCTGGGCCCATGGCCACTTCTGCTCTGGGAGGCAGCAGAGGGGACGCTGTGACTACCCGACCTCCTGGAGCTAAGGACCATGTTCACAGGGCCCCCGAGGTCAGGACAGGCATGGCGAGCCAGTCTGCACCTGCACGGGGCAGTGAGCCCCTCCTTCCAGAAGGCCCCGACCAGCCTCACCTGGGAACAATTAGCATCCAGGAGGAGTAACCTGGGGGTGCGGGGGTGACGTACCTGCTGCCGGCCAGGGCTCCGGAACAGAAGTGCATGCAGGCCTTGTCGCCTCTCTCCACGCAGGCGCAGCGCACGTGTGTCTGTGCTGGAGGCCGGGGGCTCCCTGTGGAGGGATCCGCGGACCGCCTGCCTCGGAAGGTTCCCCAGTAATTCGACAGCCCATAGGGCACAGTTCGTCTGTAACAGACCAGAGCACGTTAGAGCCCACACACGCCCGTCTGGGGGAGCTGACCAGGTCCCCCGCTCACAGTGCCCCCACCAGCTGGCCAGGAACGGGGAGGGGTCGAGGGGAGAACACGGTCATGAAACCGAGCGATGTGGGTTCGGTGACGCTCAGGAACTGGGGGCAACACCCCCACTACCACTTCGGGTCTCACGCAGCCTCTGAGTGATTTGGTCATCCCCCGCCACCTCTTCCTCCTCCAGGAAGCGAGCTGGGGCTGAGGGACAGAAAGAGGGGGAGGGCATGGGGAAAGAAGAGGGTCCTTTTTGCAGGATGAAGTCTCAGCCCTCCTGGGAGCTGCCTCAAGCAGACGTCTGTGTGTGCATGCGTGCACATGTGTGTTGGTATGTGTGCACATCTGTGTGCATGTGTGTGTATGTGTGCACAAGTGTGTGTGAGTTACACGTGCACATCTGTGTGCACTGTGTACACGTGTGCACATGTGTAGGTGTATATGCACATCGGTGTGCGTGTGTGCACGTGTGTGCACATGTGTTTGTGAGTGTGCATGCGCACATTTGTGTGTACATGTGTATGTGTGAACATGTGTATGTGTGAACATGTGTATGTGTGAACATGTGTACGTTTGAGTGTGCACATGCACATCTATATGTACGTGTGTGCATGTGTGCACATGTGTATGTGTGAGCATACCTGTGGGGGTACGTGTGCACATGTGGGGGTGTGAGTGTGCACGTGCACAGCTGTGTGGATGTGTGTACATGTGTACGTGTGTGCACATCTGTGTGCACGTGTGTTTTCTGAGCACACGCATACACATCTGCGTGTGCACATGCATCTGTGTTTATGTGTGTGCGTGTGTGCTCAGGCATGTATGTGCGTGCACATGGGTCCGTGTGTGGGGGCCAGCCTTCCCCAGCCCAACCGTGGCTCAGAGCTCTACCTGTGGACTCTGAATGGAGAGCTTTTGCTCTTTTCAGGACGGAACTACACGAAGACCCCTCCAGTCCTGGGCTCCCCCAGGGGCAGGTTTCAGCTCTTCAGCTCTGAACATTCTGCCCTGGCCTCTGCCTCACCCAGAAAGCCAGAAATAATTTGGAAAACTGGAGCACTCCATCCAGAAGTCATCCTTCCTGTGCCCAGCAAGCCTGACAAGGTCATTTGGGTGGAAATCTGTGCTGGTCCCCAACTGCGCCCTGGCCCCAACTCCTGGGCCTGATCATCAATACAAAGAAGACTCCTGCCTCACCTGGCAGTCGGGGCTGTCCCTGGTGCCTGCCTGGAACTGAATTTCCTCTGTGTGTACTTCAGGCCTCACAGTTAGTGCTAATGGGACTGAGACAAAGGCAATTACAGTCATCACAGATGACCCTGGCCTCTGAGTCTCACCTCCCCAGAGAGACGAGCATCAGACGGAACCCTTGGTGCCCTCTGAGAGGCCCACGGGCACCCTAGAGATGCGGCTCCGGATGGACATAGCCTTGGGAAGGTCTTATTATGAAGAAAAAAGAGTCTGCAAGTGTTTACCAGTTTCACTTATGGTTGGGTTGGGAGGAGGAGTGAGATAGTGTTGTTGACAGTGTGGTGTGATGGATCACTTCTGTGTGGCCTTTCTTGCATGGCCTTCTAACTCACACCCAAGGGATTGGATAGGACTGTGCAGTAGGGTAACTGTGGCCCACCAAAGGGGTTGGTCAGTTTTGCCACCCCTCTGGGCTTAAGGTGAGCCATCCCAGAGGCAGGAGAGAGAGGATCCCACCACCACTAAGGAAGAACAGCCGGGAGTGGAGAGCGTGTCCTTTGGACCCTGGATCCCTGCGCTGAGAAGCTCCTTGAACCAGGAGACAGAGAGAGAGAGAGAGAAAGAAGCTGTGGCAGAGGAATGATGGTAGGAGACGGTGTGGTGGGCTTCCCGGCCCACAGAGGGAGAGAGCTGAGTACCCTTGGGCAAGAGGCTTGCTGGCAGAGTAGAGTGCCTCTGGGCACTTACTGGCAGAGCTAAAAGAGCTTTGTAACACTTGCCCGGGCAGGGCAGAGGCTGAGGACCAGAGATGTGTGCCTGTGAGCACAGCTAGGAAGAGACTGTCCTGATGGAAGAACTGTATCCTGAACCTGAAATGCAACCTGTTACTTCCCTAATAAACCCCATAATCATGAGTATGGTCTGTGAGTCCTGTGTGGCCATTGCGATGAATTATTGAACTCAGCAGAGAAGTAGAGAGTGCCGTGGGAGGGACAGTTGGTGTCAGAATTGGTAAAGATGGCGGAGAGAGGAGGCGTGTCTGTCCTCTGCCTTATAGGAATCAGCCTTGGGCTGTTGTTCTTGATTCTCCTCTTCCCTTGTGAAGTTAGAGGAGGTCAGACACTGCCCCCACGCCGGTTTTATAGACAGCAATGGAACGCTGAAATCTGTTTCCTATGCATCTGGGTCTCCAAACCCTCTCTCCCCTGAGGAGAGAGGCCACAGCCAAGGAGTTGGGTGGGAAAAAGCTAAAGCAGATTCTTAACTCATTAGTGCTATTAAGCAGGATTTGTGGGATGAGTTACTAATCACTAAGGGAAATTTACGGTGGCCAAAAGCGACTTTTCCAATAAGTCTTGGTTTTCTTGTGATTCCCCAAGATTAACTACTTGAGTTTCTTTGAACCCTATGGAGTATCACCAATCATCTGTCTCACAAGGTGTCCTGACGTCCTCTAAGGGGTTTCAAAACAAAATCAAATTGAATTTGTTTTAATTTAAAAAACACATGCCATTGGAGCCTTTTGCGGGCACTGGGGGCAAAGGGGGGGCTCCCCACGGTGACCTGACATTTGGGTGATCCTCCCTCCTGTTGGCTTGGAGGCCAGAGTGAAGGAGTTTAACCAACCATAGTCTCCCTCTTGCCCTCCCCTCCCCGACTGCTTCCCACCCAAGTTCACTGGGTGCTGTGGTGGGGTCTCTCCTGACCAGGGTGGGCCCAGCTGCTGAGCAGTCTACACTCACAAAACAGAGAAAGAAAGCAGGGTCTACTGTGCTAAGCTGAACCCTTTGCTAAAACCCCAGTTTCTCTCATGAATGGGAAAAGGGTAGGGAGAGAGCAGTGAAACAATGCTGACATTGTTGAGAGGCAGGATTTGGCTAAAGGTGTATTTTTCCAGTAACAGGGTCACATTAAATCTCTAAGTGCTGACACTAAATCCCGTCCCTCCATTTCTCAGTGAAAATCACACACGAGCAATAACAGCGCGCCTGTTACCCATCAACAGCGAGCCCTGCAATTCTGAAATTGCCGTCAGCTGATCATGCGTGTGCCGTACAGCCACTCAACTCCAACAAAAACACTTTCAAGTGTTTTACGTAAGGAAACAAGGCAATGCAGAATCTGTTAATAGGGAAATGCTCACTGTTCCTGCAGCCGGGCCCAAAGGGCTAGGAGGCAAGGGAGCCCTCGCAATTTTCAAAGAATGTTTACCAAGAAGCCCAGCCCCTGCCCCTTCCCCATGGCTCTGAGACCTACAAATCCCTTCACCAAGCCTTAGGTGTCCAGACCCGGGAGCTAGGATGGAAGCTGAGGAACTACAAGACTTTTCATCTTATTTTTATAAGAAGAGAAATTTATCATCTCACAGTTCTGGAAGTCAGAAGTCCAAATTCAGGGTGTGGGAAGGGTGCTGTTCTCTCCCAAGGCTCTAGGGGAAGGCCCTTCCTTGTCCCTCTGGGTTCCGGTCGCCTCAGGCGTGCCTTGGCTTGTGGGGAAGGCCCTTCCTTGTCCCTCTGGGTTCCGGTCGCCTCAGGCATGCCTTGGCTTGTAGCCACAGCACAGCTCGATTGTCACATGGCTGTCTTCCTTCTGTCTGTCTGTGTCTCGTCTCCTCCTCCACAGGGCACCACAGGGAGTGCTAGTGGCACAGTAGTTAAGCACTCGGCAGCTAACTGATAGGTTGGCAGTTCAAACCCACCAGCTGCTCCGCAGGAGAAAGATATGACAATCTGCTTCTGTAAAGATGATGTCCTTGGAAACCCTATGGGGCAGTTCTACTCTGTGCCATAGGGTCACCATGAGTCGGAATCAACTCGATGGCAGTGGGCTTGGTTTTTTGGGTTCTTTTGCTTACAGGACACCATCAGATGGGATGAGGACCCACCCCATTTTGGTACGGTCTTGTGTTAGCGTAAATAAAAACAACTTCAAACGCCCTATACCAAAACAAGGTCACGTTCACAGGCACCAGAGCTGAGGACCTCAACATAAACCACAGGACACTATTCAAACCATAAATAACACTTAAGATACGGGGAAGAGACTTGCTCATACACTGTTCATGCCTTCTACACCGCTACAACGCTTTGTTGACAATGTATTATATAAACTTATAAAAAGATTCATTGCTGACGATCTTAAATTTCTACTTCTGCAATTTTATCATAAGGAAACCATCACAGATATGCAAAAAAACTTTGTATAAGGATAATCATTGCAGGGATATTTTTAATAATCCGAAAAAATTGAAACAGCAAAATCACCCATCCAAGGGACTTTATTTAAATAAATCGGGATATGTCAGCATGATGGAATAACGTTAGTATGGTGGTCTAAAATATGATCTAGATCACAGCAGACCCACCCTACAATTTGTAGGGTCTGGATCAAGAGTACAAACAGAGGCCCACATCCCATAGGTTAAACATTGTAAGGTTTTAAATCAAGCTGGTAAGCTTTTAAATAAAAAAGTTCTATGCCCTACCTGGGCAAATGCAGCTGCAAAACACCCTGGAAGGCCAGATTTGGATTTAGAATTCTCAGACTCCTTGGAATTCATTCCATGCTGGAATGAGGTAGCCCCAGGAGACGCAGCACCTTCTCTTCTGCCCCTGCTCCCTCCTGCACCAAGAATGGCTGCTTCTGCTCCACGTGGATGCCCCAGCCTGCACCCCCTCCCTGCAAACAACTGCCCCTTGCCCACTCTATGGGTCCAGGGCCATGTTCCTGGAGTTCTGTTGCTTCTTGATG